GAGCGGTCCCCATAAGGATATGTTTACCCTACATGTACGTGTGTGTGTGTGTGTATACACATATGAAAATGGACGCTTCAAATAAGTATGGGTGCTGGATAAATGGCTTTTAGCTACTGAAAAGCATTTTAATGTAGCACATTTTAATCTGAAGAGGTCTTCGCTAGGTTATTCATCTTTCCTTGTTTTTTCCAAGTTGGTCTTCCTATCTAAATGGGGACATGTGATCTATGATCTATGCAAACCCACACACACACACACACACACACACACACACACACACACACTCATGTTCTGATCCTAATCAGTCATGTTGTTTCCACAGAGTCATTCGAAATGGGTTTCTTTTCTTTATTTCTCTGTTTTACTTGTGGATCCTGATGTGAAAAGTCCATTGTCTGACATTGCAGCCAGTGTAGACTACCTCAAATATTTGTTCATGGCCAGAGTGGCATATTCTCCCGAAAGTGTTTTGTTTAATGAAGTGCAAGCTTGTTGAATGACAAACAGATGGCGCTTTTTTACCTAACAAATTCCTCAATGCATTACTAATGAGGTTAATCTATGTCCCACTGGGCAAAAAAAAAAAAATATTAGCCTCTCTGTTCATCCACATTACTGGAAATTCTGTTACGGTGGGAAAAAAAAACATTGCATATGTTCACATACAGATGACTGAAATTGTTTGATTTATTCATGCATGGTGTCTGAATACTAATAACATATGATTCTGCTATACATGGTGACAATAATCCAGTGCTCATTGTAGATGGTATATGAGTGACATATACCATCAAGCACTATACTGTACCAGTAGATGGTATATGGATCATATACACCATCAAGCCCTTCATTGTTAAACAATGCAAAACGGAATGAAAACATAATGTTGGAATGGTTTGGAAAAGGAGGTTTGTTTACTTGCTGGTGTCAGTCGCAACAGAAACAGGAGCCATTAAATGTGTTGCTTAGAATGTTCCATGGCAAGATGCTGAGCTTAAGTATTAACGACAATGACAATTTTCGCTGTGTCTGGAAGGTAAACATTACCTGGTGTTGCTGAATCACACTCAGCTGTAATCTAGGAGTTCCCTGTGCATTTTTATTTTATTAATACCCTGTTGGAGTTGGTTCGGTGGGTGTAAACAAAACACATCCCATCAAATGTGTAAAACTTACTGATCGACCAATGCTTGCCAGTATTTTACCATGGTTTATGGACCATGGTTAATCCTTGCCTGTCAGGATTCCGACATGTTGGGAATGCTCCTACTCATTGGAATAAATCTTACTCATGGCTTGTTTGTTATGTTCTGGGGTCAGATTAATGCATCCCAAGCCCCCCCCCCCCACACTCTCTTTGGACCTCTCATTTTACTTTCACTTATAGCAGGACAGCTGTCCTTTCATCTGAGACATTGTACTCTTTAATCTTGCACCCTTTGAAATGAACTTTGATATATGGCAGTCACTGACATGCATAATACATTTTGCTAAATAAATGAAAAGCAGTTTAACCAGCCAATTGTTCTCAACTGGTTTCAATGTATTTTAACCAGGAACTTCTGGGCGTGGTTTCTTGAGTCTGAGCTCTTGCTGTATGGAGCTTAAACAAAAATATGAGGTTCACTAGTATAAAATGTTTGAAACCTCTGTTTGCAGGGTTGTTGTTTTGTAATTCCTCCAAATAAATGTGTATTTGTTGTCTTAAGCCATGAATCATTTGCCATCAGCTCCCCCCCCAGTAAAGACTCAGCCCCCCCATCCATTAATCTCTAACTATGCCCCTGTCTGTTTGTATGTAAGAAAAGGTACCTTGCAGTTAAAATACTTTAATATTAGTATGTACGCCTGCTCATTAATACAAACAGCCCGCTCCTCCAAATACTAACAAAATGGCTAGCTTGCATGCTTTAAGCAATTTTGAAGGTGTTTGTTGGTGCTTCCAGCATCTCAGCAAGATCTACATTTTCATAGTATCCAGAGTTTGCAGAGAATCGTGCAAACAAAAAACATCCAGTCAGCAGCAGTTCTGTGGGTAAAAACACCTTGTTAATGAGAGAGGTCAGAGGAGAACAGCCAGATTTGTTAAAGCTAACGGAAAGGCCACAAGTGCAAAAACAACAGCTCAGTACAACAGTGGTATGTAGAATGGCTTCTCTGAATGCACAACTTGTGTACCCTCGAAGCAGTTCTGGAGGCAAAAATGGGGCCTACCTGGTACTAGCTAGGAGTACCTTATAAAATGGCTACAGATTGCATGTCGCATGATATTAACATAAGTCACAGTACCTTCTCATCCACTGATTTATTTATGTGTGAATACACTCTGGTCATTTCAATTCCTCTAGAAAGATATACTGTAATTACAGGTTTAACTAGTCCGTTACACAACAATGGTATCTTGCTGCAATTTACACACTCCTTTAATTAAAACTGGCAGTTTACTGGGAGCTCCAGAATGAATCATTTCTCTGAGATGCTTTTGCTGTTTCCTACCATTTGCTCTGACAGGTTCCTCGCGCTGAATGGCTAGGCTGGGGGCAGTCCAATTCGCAGAGTTGCATGCAGAAAGCGAGATAAGACCTCATTTAAATAACTGTCATGTTCTCACCATATGTCTGAGGTCACTAATCAGTGGGCTTGGGTTTTTTAAAAAAAAATTACGTGTTCTGTTAAGTAAGTAGTCTTGAACATGACACTCATCAATAACAATTGTTTGGCTTTACTATTTTTGAACCTTATTGACTTCCCTGCCCACTGCGGTAGGCCGCACTCTTCAGTGCATACAGAGATTTTTGCCATGTCAGGATTACTTTTTTGGTCGCAAAAGCTGTCTGTCGGATAACTAGAGCATCTGATCCAAAGAGCACAAATTGTGCTACATAATTGAAGTGATGCTCATGCACAGTGCTGAAACTGAATGAAGTGCTGTCATTTGCATTCAGAGATTAATTCTTGTGACAACATTTCACGAGGAGTCATTTCGAGTCATGTGATACACATCATTCGTGGCACAAGCTCAAAAGAGCACAATGATTGCATGGACATGAAAATCTTGCAGCAATTGGTTTGGTGTTGTATAATACATCTGGAAGTGCTGTACAACCATTGCCAAGTCTTGACTTTGTTTCAAGGGAATTTTTGTATAATGCCAATTTTTCCAGTATCCAATAACAGATTCTTCAATAAGGTAATATGATGATAGTGTTACAGACAGTAATACAGGCAGGAAAAGAGTGACAATCAATTGAGCAGCTCCAAGACAACAGGGGTTGGACAAAGGAACTGAACTCACTGGAGAAAACTACAAAATAAAAGGACCACGAAGGATCAAAACGAACGGGAAACCAAACAGACTAAACTAAGATCATGAAATAATGACCATAAGGGAACTAAGCAGACAAAGGGAACAGGACACAGGAAAACTGGGTAATACAGGGAACAGGACTCAGGAAAACTGGGTAATACAGGGAACAGGACTCAGGAAAACTGGGTAATACAGGGAACAGGACTAGGAAAAAAGTAGAGCAAAAAAAGGACAAAACACACAGTGATCTCTACACAATTACTGACTACAGAATGGAGTAGGGTAGGCACTTCCATACACCAAGACAACTGGGCTAATGAGGGAGCAGGAGTGGAACATGACCAATACAACCAATCAATGGAGACGCAAGGCAACAAGTGGAGTTAGCTTACAATAACGAGCACTGAATTTAGGAAACTAAACAGATACCAAAACTAGAAAACATAACCATACACTAGTGATACAATGCAAAGACAATAAAAACAGAACAGGAATAGAACACAAACAGGGCAAACCATTGACAAGAATACTAAGAAAACAACAAACACTTCGGAACAAAAACTATTAAATACAAATAAACAGATGAAGTTGGCCTCTAGCTAGCCTCGAACCTATTATCTGAGCTACACGCTCTACCCCTAGAGCTGTGCGGCAGTCCAGGATGCTGGAAAAAACACACTAGGGCTAAAAGACAAGGAGTGGAAATGTGGGACGGCCAGAGACACCTGCTGGCCAAACGGGGAAGAAACACCAAGGGCTGGGCTGGACAGCACCGACCCTGGCAGATAGCTACTTTAACTGAGTTAGACATGGAACAAACACAACGTCTATAGCCAGAACTGGATTCAGATGTGCAACCCAGAAGGCATGAGCATAAATTCTGAAGAATCCAAGATGAAACTCTTAGTCTGCACTCTGTCAAGCCTATTCAAGGGTTCTCAACCAGCATGTTGTCTGTGAGTGCCATTACTTAGCCTTTTTCATGAAGTATGACAGCGGCTCTGCAACATCAGTAGGCTTGAAAGTTAATTACGTTGTCTGACTACGAGTCATTTCAAGACCTCCATTCATTTTCCATAACCGTTTATCCAGCAAAGGCTTACGGAGTCTATTCCAAGTAGCACAGGAAAAAAGATAGGGGACACCCTAGATAATATGCTAGTCTACTTTTTAGGGCATTTACTTATGCACATGATCAAAAACTATGGCCAGTTTAGGGACAGCAGTGCACCTAAACCACATGTTCATGCACTGCTGGAGGAGATCCCACATGCACATCGTTGGGACAGGAATCAAACCTGTAACTCTGCTGGAATGAGGTTACAGTACTACCAGAAGAGTCAATCTGAGCCATGTATTTACTAAGATGAACTTGCTAAACCTGTACTAACATTTTGCATACAAAGAAATTAGATAAGAGTTATATGCCCAATTATTTTCACTGGGGCACCGTAAAAGGAGGGGAATTTAGGACAATTAAAAGTGACAGGACCCCTAAAAAATTTGGATCATACTTGGATTGGTCTTGGTTGAGGTCCCAATATGACGTGCTTTCAAAAATGGTTATTTGCAGTTATTTTACACATAGGATGTCTATTATGCAAGACTGCAGATCCACAACAATATAAATTGTGGGTCAAGGCATATCAAAATGATTCATAATAGATCCTTTCTTGACATGTGGTTGCAATGGAAATATTTTTTTTTTATTTGACGCTTCGGATTGTTCTTTTTATTTTTAAATGTACTTTCATCCGACATCATATCTCATTAAAGTAACGTTATAAAATTCACTAAAACTTAAAACTTTTCCCAGGCATGCTTGATAAGCAGTTTAGGCTAGATTAATGTTATCCTCTTTGCTGAGATATCTGGCTGTGTTTTCGAAGTAAGCATACTGTGTAATAAACAGATGATGTCCGAGTCATACTGCAGAAATGCATAAATGCTAATATCCATACATTGTTGGGGGGGCGTCCTTTTAAAGGTACTTCATTCAACTGCAAATAACGCAGTATTTCTCACAAACTCACCTTACAAGCAATTACTTCATATACCAGCATGCGACAGCTTAAAGTGGCATACTTAATGCGTTAAACTCACTCGGTGCTCTACTGTTTACATTGTACGTCAGATATTTCTTTCATGATCCATACCTTCCTCCGTGTCTATGAAACCAACTGGTGATAGCACTAACAGTCCAGTTAAGCACAGAGTGAAAAGTTGTGTATTGAGAATCCATGTTAAAATTTACACAAAAAATAATGCCGCTTGATAATGCGTAATAAATGTTTAATGTATGTATTCCTATTAGCCTATTCGTTTGTCGTTGTCGTTTTATTTTTCCTCGAGAGAAAATAACAGAATATCTTACTGGATCACTTCGTTACTTAGTAAACATGTTAAGTAAATACACACATTATGTGGAAAAGGCAAAACACTGCTCATTCACCCATGGCACTGATCAGACTGATTGACACCACTGATACTGTTTCTATAATCCCGAATAAATTTACTGTGTGTTCACGCTTCGGTACATTTTGTTTCATTCTCCTCCCCGCCATGTTATAGTAGGCTGCAGATTTCCCTTGTGCATTTCACGCTGCAGGTGCAATGGCTCGGAGTTACTGATAGCCCGGCGTCTTCACAAATCCATCTCCTTCTGCTCCTTCCTTCCATCTCCACACGCTGTTTTTCTGCTTACCTTTTACATTTTGCTGTGCTGCCGTCGTCTAAACTAGGTGTTGCATCCTGCAGTCTTGCCCGGGTTTGCGGTGCCTCTTAAAGAAACACCCTACACTTTTTTTCTTTCTTTCTTTTTGATTTCTCAATGCTTCTCTGAATGGATTACGTTTTTCCTAATCAAAGAGTTATTCATTAACCATTGGGATTGGGAAATGGATGTTTAACAAGCTGCTGAAGGAGAGCGATATGCGTTTTAACTCTTTTGTGGCTGAGAAACCCGTTTGATTGAGTGGAGGATGTCTTCTCTTCATGCTCATGACAAGAAAAGAGGGAGAGAATGAGATTAACAAAAAAATTTACGATACGAGTTTCTTTATCACATCTGGGGGCTGTGTGAGTCAAGCAAGTAAAATAAAACTGGGGGGGAAAGCGTCCAGGATGGATTTACGTGATTCCAAAGGATTTACCCTTTGATTGGGGATTGAAGAAGAATTGGCAAATCCCTTTTTAATATATTTTTTCCTCGGAAGATTGCAAAGGTGGAGCGATTAGAAAAGGCTGATGTTGGACCTATTAATCCTGTCTGTGCACCAAAAGCACCAAAACAGCTTAGAAACCTTTGGATGGAAATCAAGCGGGTGTTTGGACCTGTTCTTGGTTTTATATGAAACTGGTGATTAATACTAGTTACCCATTGGATTGACTGTAATACTTGGAAAAAAAATACTTTTGGGTGACATCGCAGTGGCTAACATTTTTTTTTAATTTTCCAATATAATCAATCATTTCCACTTGAAGAGTTTCTGAATCTAAATGGAATTAGTTGAGATTGAAGCCCCTTGTGAAAGGAACAGACATGGTACATGGGCACAGTTTGTTTTACGGTGAGCCGCTTGTTCATACTTTATGTATTTGAATGCGCTAGTTATTGATTGCTTTGGGTGAGCAATAATAGTCTATATAGAACTATCTGCTTGATGATTGTTCATTGCATTTTTTCTCTCCTTCGCTTTTCACAAAAAAAAAAAATCGTTCAGAGGTAGAAACGCTATATTTCAGGTTTTACTGATGTTGTGGACGTCTGTGTGCGTCTAACATTGCGTGTACTGTAGATACGGTACTGATGTCGCTACGCTTGCGATCCTGTAAATAGGGATGCATATAGGCTATTCATTCCAAATATCCGACGGTGGTATTACCGTTTCGGCTTTCTAGGACTTAAATTCACTGTTTGTGTTTCATGGCCATATATGTATTTCTTTTCGTTTTCGTAACTAAAAGTTGTTTAACTTCATGTACAGCGAATATATTTATTATTAATCTGGTTTAAAATAAGTGTATGTATTTATGCTTCCCTTTGGTTTTTTTCCCCTTGAAGCGCAGTATTCAGGTGCCTTGTACATCGGTCAAAAGTCCCTTATTCCACATAGATGTTTTTCCCCGGCGTCCACGGTTTGACAAATAAGCTATAGTGTGTTAATTGAAGCGCACTTCGAGCTTTCAGTGGGTAAAATGTGTTTTTATTTCCTTTGCCATTTAGTCACATTTTAATGCATGTTGTAAAAGTGCCCCTAAAAGTGCTCTGACGGATAAAATGGGTATCGTTTATTATTCAAAAGAAATTTCAATGTTTGATACGAAAGTTCAGATAGAAAAAAGGTGCAAATTGAAGATAATGATTATATATTTTTAACGATAGGGAATAGCCGGTGTAAGGAACTCAAATAACCTCATTGAAGACCTCGTTGTTTTCGTCTATGGGATCCATCCTTAGAGCCGTGACACTTGCTCTCTTACGGAAAAAAATGAGACCAGAAGCACACAGTGAGTCAGTGTCTCCACCAATTTCATTTTGTCTCTTGCTGCAGTTGCTGCAAGTCTCATCATACTCGGGTTGTCCGGGGCAACAAAGAAAGAAGCAGGTAATTGTTCAGTATGAATATTCATTTCTTTACGATTTCCTTGATTTTTAAATCCTTGTCTTTAAGAATCCACAATTTGTGTCCTAATATGCAGTCGACGTGTCTGAGTCCTCGTGATTAATTTCATAATGTAAGGTTTTTAATTCATCCGCCGCTTTCCTGTTACAAGTGTGACTCATTTTGCACCGTGGCTGCTGTGACTCTTCCAGTGAAAAACAATTCAGGAGTCCAGCCAGCAGGTCAATGTGGGACCTGGGTGAAGGAACCAGAAGGGGGGTTGTTCACCTCTCCAAATTACCCCAACAAATACCCCCCAGAGCGAGAGTGCATTTACATTATTGAAGGTAAATGTCCAAGCTGCATCAACACATTTCCATTTCACACACCATTAAGAAGTAGTAAACCAGCAAAGCAGCTTAGCTCTCTAGCACTGATAACATTTGACTTTCTGCCCATATTAATACAAACCGACTCTCCTCTGAGCAATTCATAGCAACTTTCCTTTCTACAGTTAACACTGGTTAATTTAGGAGACATTCATATTCACGTTGGTTCTGTTAAAAATCATTCAAATGTTAGTGCTCCATACTGCATGAAATACCTATTGAAAATCCTGGCATATAATGGCCAACAAATCAAATATGCCAAGACTCATCTTAATGGGTTTTAGTTAAAGGTCAGATTATTGTAAAAAAAAAAAAAACAAGTGATATACTGAATTTTTGTCTTTATTGAGAAATTAGTTGACTGTTTCATGGAAGAACAGACACAACAGAACAGAAGTACATTATTGTTGCCAGCTGGTGTTTTGGACGTCAGGGAGGGTGACTGACGCAGGGCAGCGTTTCGGTTGTGCATCTGGAAGCTTCTAAGACACAGCTCAAATTTATGGGTGTATCACAGCTGGTTCAGGAAAATCTTACTGTTCCATCAAGGTGCCTTATTTATAAACTGACTGCAACGTTGCAATCTGATGAACTTGTAATTATTTTGTATGAGGTTGATGTGTTATTTAGTTGTTCAGGGTGTAATTCAAACAGAATTAGAGAACAAGTTATCACTGCAGTCTCCATAATTACTTAAAGATATCACTTATGGTTTAGCCATATAAGGCATTTCATTGATTTATATTTAGATTAGAAAAACTAATGAATAGATTATTTGTAACTAAAGATTTCAGCACTTGGTTTCCCAGATTTTTCATTTTATGCCTTGAAGTATATTTGTTGAATGTCACCATTCATTAGGTCGAATCACCAAGCTATTTCACAATTATTTACCAATTATTTTTCATTTTAAAATAAAATTTTATTTTATGTTGTCGCCGTTTGAAGGACATAAATGCATTTTATTAAACATGTAACAATGTAGGTGAGCTTTATCTGCTATTTGTAAGCAAAAAACTCATTGGAAAAGTATGAAAACTTGTATATGGGATTTGAGTTTGATGATGTTTCACCTCTTCCTTGTTTCTCCTAGCTGCCCCTAAACAGTGCATTGATCTCTACTTTAATGAGAAGTACTCAATAGAGCCTTCATGGGAATGCAAATTTGATCACATTGAAGTTCGGGACGGGCCATTCGGCTTCTCTCCAATCATCGGACGGTACTGTGGTCAGCAGAGTCCGCCTTATATCAGATCTAGTGGCCGCTATCTTTGGATAAAATTTGTTGCTGACGGTGAATTGGAGGCTACTGGATTTTCTGCAACATACAACTTCACTCCAGGTAAAATATATATGCATGCATGTATACACACACACATGCACGCACGCAGACACACACACACACACACACACACACACATATATATATATATATATATATATATATATATATATATATATATATATATATATATATATATATATAGTGTGTGTGTTTGGATAGATTAATTTGTCTGTTAATGTAGGCTTTTGTGGTTCTTAAATTATAAACAGATACAGACCATAATAACAGATCATTTTAGTTACTTTCTAGGCAAAAACAATTAAAGAAAAGAATCGCTATGCAATCATGATCGAAAACTGCAAAGCAAATTCACATCTGCAGATGTCTTGTAGCGTTTGCGGAAAGAAACAGCGAGGCGGTCACGCCGTGTGGATTTGCTTCAGTTCTCTGACTGATAACGGGGCCACTCAGCAGTTTAGGTCCTGTTTAGGTCCTGCTGAACCGCTGCCTCTAAGGCACCTATTTATGCTCCTAGCAGCTGGTGGCTATAGGAAGCTGGAAGGGTAACGGTCACATCATTCAGTCTGATTCCCCATCCCTGTGAGTCTCACAGCATATGGTCCATGCTGTACTATAATCTCAGTATTTGCTTAGTTGTATTTTTACTCTGAAATGCTGTAATGGTATAACCAGACATTGACTTTGGTTCCTAGAAGGAAAAATGGCAGTGTAGCGGTTGTTTTAGGCCTTTGTATATAGTTAATAAGATAATAATGTTTGGAAAATAACTCAGCATAAGCTTTATAGTAGTTGTGAGTCTCCAACGCAAGTGCAAATAAGAAATGACACAAAATATAGTTATATATTTATTTCTATGTCAAGGTAATCCTTTAAATTGCAGCCTATTCATTTGTTGGCATTCTTAGTATATGTTAAGAAAATGTGTATAATCTTCTGATTTGCCTCTGCTCATATTGAAATCTATAGCCCTATCTACGGTAATTCAGTTTTACTAAATCTTTCTTGCATCAAATTAAGCTATTCACCCTTTGAAATGAAGCAGCGTAGGTAATATTGGAGCACAGACAGTATATTCATATTGTCTTCATACTCTGTAGTATCTCATTCCTTTGAAAGCGCCAGTTTATTGCAAGCTGAATGGGCTTTTGATTGGACAGTAGATTTATACCGAGTGATTTGGGAGCAAACCGATGCGCAGTGTGGACTGGATTGTGGCCGATTCCCTCCTGGGGAAGGATGTCGCTGCAGATGGGGAAGGATAAAGTCAGGAAGGCTGGGTGAAATGAGCACAACAGGCTCAGCGGAGTGGAGGCTGGTAACGTGGGGAGATCCACGAGGCGACAGCCAAAGGAAACTGGTTCTGCGGCTCTGAGAGCGCGGCTCGTCTGTGGAGTCCGGCTTTCACGTGTGGGCGACATTCCCAACGACATTCCTTTTATGTCCCGATAAGAGATTGGAATTTACATAACCGAGGAGATGAAATTCTCGATTCCAGTCTGCCCAGCACTCTGTTATCGTGATTATGAGGAGTACCCCGGTGGTATGTCTGCCAAATCTAACGCATGCTAATGCAGATGGAGAAACAGATGAATGAAAAAGCAGGAGGCATATACTGTATTAAACTGCATGAATGGCATATTTGCACAGTGCATTCCTACTTCCTGTTTTTACTTATCATAGGAAAAAAAAACACATTTGGAAGAGCAGTTCCAAGGTTAATGTAATACGTCTGGAACCAAAGACTCTCTTTCTTAATCCTTTTTAAAGTTAATAATATATCAGCCCAATTTAACACAATCGCTTTAAGTGAAAATTCAATGGAAAATCCTCTGTGTGCCGTGCCACTTTATTCCAGTCTGCGGAGGTGTAGTAATTCACCATAGGTCCCAATATGCTGGCTTCACAGATTTAATTGAAGTTCTGGATGCAATCAATTACACACACCTACCTTCTCTGCTTTGTCAGAGCAGATCGTTGCAGTTTTCTGATCTGCCGGCTTTGCCTACAGAAGATCTGCCTCAGTATCTGTGAATCTGACCTTATCTGCTATGCAGGCTTTTTTCTGCTAGTCCTGCTTTCTCAGATGTACTCTGCTGACTGACGCCAAGCCCTTGCTCCGTAAAGCGCGGAAAACCCACTCCATCACATAGCATCAGGATTTCTCCTCAGAAACAGAGTTCCTCATTTTAACATGCTATTTAATAAAGACAAAATTTTATTTTGGCTATTATGCAGCAAGCAGGGGGGGGATGACATTGTTTCCCAACCTGGACCTCGGGGACCCCAGACAGTCCACGTTTTTGCTCCCCCCCAGACAGTCCATGTTTTTGCTCCCTCCCAACTCCCTAACATTGACAGATAAAAGCCTTATGGTGACATTGCTTGGAGTGTATTGATTATTACAGTCACTCAAGAAAGAGTAATTTTCCCATTTAGAAAGGGTTTCAACCTTTCTTAAACCAGGGACCTTCAAATTAAAACTGAGCAGGGCGTTTCCAGACCCCCAACCATTAATGCAGCATCAGATAAATACCTAAGAATTAAAGACCTGTCAAACATTTTTCATTCTAGGGGGGTTCCTAAGACATTTTTATGTAGAGTTCATGAGGGTATGGACATTTTGAGGGGATGTATTTTGTCAAGTTTATGAAATGTTTCTACAAACTCCTGGAAAAAAATATCTTCCCTATAGTAATTATTTATTCATTGAAATTTTGCATTAGTTGATCACTTTTCTATTTTCCATTTAGATCTTATTGCTTCAGCAGCTCTTGAGATCAAACTTGATGTCGCTTGTGTTCTCTTTGGACACCATTTTCTCTTTGATGTTGCGTAAGACAACATGCAGTTTTATGAACCAAAAATGATATAGGTATTAAGTTGCTTTCGTGTGGCAAAGCCCTTATTAGTGTGAAATGTTATTCGGGGTTTGGTCAGCATGGAGAACCTTCAGCGCCATGAGAGAGCTTGTTTCCCTCTGGCACAAGTATAAGATGTTCTTGAACAGTGAGAAACTCCCAATGTCAATTTGTGGACTGAGAAATGGCACTGAATTTGAATAGGTCTAATGACATGTAGAATAAGCCAATTCTTTGCAAGAAACAAATTGGAAAATACAAATATATATATATATATATTCCCAGAGGAACTGACCCAACTTTTTTTATTATTATTTCTGATCCACAAGTTGATCTCGCAGTATATTGCAACAGTTTTTCATGTTGTCTGATGTCTCGAAAATCTCTCGACACAGACCCATGGTTCGTGTCTGACATTTACGTCCTTGGTAGTGTTAATAAATAGCTAAATGATAATGTCAGTGACATTTTGTCTTTGGCAGGAGGTACCATTATCGGTACCCATTATTTTAAGATGGATGGCGAGCGTGCATCCTGTACCTTGTTAATGTGTCCCGTTAAAAATCGTCCTCTAGAGCCTAAAACAAACCTGAGCACCAGACAACAGCACCCTTTTCAAGCTGCATTGTGACATCAGAGAGATATCCTAGTGCAATCCATGCACGTTAGCTATATCATGAATGGGGGGCGGTGTCCATCCCCAGAGCAGGAGTCAGGTGACCAGTCATTCCGTCTGTTTTATTGCAATCTGTGAATGTTTTCTCTTGTCTTCTTTCTCTCCTGTTAAACTGACTCTGACTCCTGCATCATTCATTCCCCCTTGAGCAGGAATCCATGCTCTCTGCTCTCCTCATAACAGCATTTTTCTGTTTTCCTCTGCCATGTTGCTCGGACCCCAATCCTGCCAACCTCGAAATCCCCAAACCCCAATATAATAATTCCCTGTACCCATCCCCATCTTTCATGGTTATTTTCCCCATGAAAAAGCTTTTTTAAAATTCTTCCATTATAGGCAGCCAGCTACTTTTGTCCTACTTAATATTGTTATAATGGTATCGGTGTGGATACAAGTGTGAGCTTGCAGGAAGTCGTGTTGTAGTGCAGTAATTGGGCAGGTGCCCCGTTAGTGCGGCGTGCCACGGTGCAGTGCACAGACTCGTCCTGCTTGTTGCCAGGTACCACTGTAAGTTTACAGCTCCCTTCAGCCATCTACTTACACTCACTATTAATACAAATAGTTCTATGTCACCACCAATCGCAACTTCGCATTTGGCTCGCGGGGAAATGCTGCTGTCTCATTGCAGTACATATCCACTCGGTTCTGTTTACATTATTTTACTCTTAAATGGCAGAAAAATACATCATGCAGGAAGAAGCCCAGCTTACATATGTGCCTGATAAACTGAGATGGCCTTGTATGATCTTAAATCATCATCCCTGTATGGGATTCTGTGATGTTAAAATGACCTGTCTGTTTTATAAATGTTATTTTCCCTTGCTTGATTCTGAATCTTAACGTGCCAAGTGCTCCCAGCACTCTGGGTACTGTTCAGCTCCAGTTTAATTTTCTGAAGTAGTACTGACGGACAGAAAACTTTGACAGGTACGTAGAGTCAAGGTTAGAAAGAGGTCTGCCCAGTGGGATTCTGCACTGCAGCAGTGAATCAGGGAGGATGAAACTAAGCCCACGTATGCAAGAAGCATAGACATTTAAACCTGGAACTCTTTCCCCCAAGTAAATGTTGTTTAAAGGAAAAAAGTTGCTCTGGATTCTCATCAAGGGAGTCTTCATGAGTTATTCTTTCAAATTTACTCGGCTCTACAGAAGAGAGATGCCTGCAGTCTGCTGATAAAACTAGTATGTGAAAAATAAACAATGCTGTCCAATGAGAATGCGGAATGAGGATACTATCATGTGTGTCTGTGACAATGAGAGAGTATGATGTGAGGGTAGGTTCTTCTGCTGCCTAATGGGATCTCATTAGCTTAAGTTCAGAAATGATGTTTGTGGTGAGTGTTGTTTATACCGTCATTACTGTACTGGGAGCACAAGAGATAAGGGGACTTCTAATCTCACGTTATTTACAATCAAATGTAAGTAATGTCAATGCATGGAGACAATAAAACTAAATCTCTTGGATAAGACTTCTGTTGACTAAAACGTATTGAGATTATTAC